AACTGGCGCAAAAGACAACTGTCCTCCCAGCGGTGTCAAACATTCGAGGGACGCCTCAGAGAAAGATCAGGAGGAGAGGAGGAGGAGGAGGAGGAGGAGGAGGACCAACCAGCCACAGAGAGAGATCACGACACGCCAACCCAGCTCAGCATGAACCAATATAGACAGCATAACCACCATACCTGTAACAAAAAGGTGGCACTACCAAACAGCGACTGCGAAACCACACTGGGCACAGCAGCGGCAAACCTCAGGGCCACCAAGGCCAACCACACCAAGGCCCAAACCAAACCAGCCAGCAACTCCCCCAGCACGGAGCAGTGACTTCGTACCGCAACCAAGCTTCGGCACCAGTCCTAAACACACAGCGTACACCACGCGAGAGAAACAGGCACTCATCGACAACATACCAGAAGCATACCACAACGACGTTTCGCTCAGAACAAAACTGGAGCAACGCCACTCGAGGTCGGGACTTGGCACGCTTCAAACACTGATGCCTCGCACAAGCTTGCAAGGCATATCCTGGCAGGGGAAAGCGCAGGCCAAGAGGCTAACCACATCGGCAAGACCTTGCAGTAATCAAACAGCAGCTACTTGACCTGAAGCCCGAAGCTGAAAAAAGTAGTGCATACGACGACTCAAAGACGACTACGCAGCATGAACGAAGATCTAAGCAACAACATTGAAGCAAGCTCCGCAAACACACGACGACACCACACACAACACCAGGACTCACGCCAACCCCGAGAACGAGCTGGGCAACAACCGACTGCCCACGCCCAGTCCACAATCATGAGCACGCGACGCAACGCTCGGCACCGACCCAAGATAACGTCCACCACTCGAACCTCGAACCGCTCAAGACGCCGAATCCAAACACCCCAGCAGACCAAGAAACACAGAAGCTTAAGCCACTATTGGAAACAGCCTACGACCAGCTCAAAGCCAAGCATTGGGCCATTGAGGGGCTAAAAGCATCCCAACATGGCACAGACAAGGAACGCACATCACAACAATTACACGCAACATACGAAACCGTTCAACAACTACGAGAAGCAGCCAACCACCTATCCAGCGACTACCACAGGACATAAGAACACAACCACACCCCTCGACAGGCACAACTTCGAACGCAAGCGGCCAAAACAACGGCAATACGCCAAGAAGGGACAGCAATACGAGACTCTGAACACACCAAATTTCAGAACGAACAAACGCAGCACCACTAGAGAGCCTCACGGAACAAGTACTCCAATACCACGCAAACTCAAAAGCCTACAAGGACAGACCGACCACAATGCTACGACACGCCGATCACACCAAGCAACGCACAGCGAGTCAGAGGCCAGCACTGCAGAGCTACGACAAGAAATGCGACATAACAAAAAAACGACGACGACAAGAGTAACGATTCACGACAAGCGACAGCTACGAGCACAACACACAGAAGGCAGAACGGGCTACTGAAGAACGGATGCCTGGCGCCACTACTACATCAAGCGAAAGCAGATTATGCACTAACATAGGAAGACTTCCTTCCAGGGCATGACCAAACAATTCCAAATCTCGACCACGACATCGGGGAAGCGATACGAATAGCAGAAGAAGACAAAGCGGAGCATAGGCGACAACAACAGCAAGAACAGACAGAAGATGAAGTACATCGATTAGAAGGCGAACTAGAAGGCATATTGGCGACGACCTCGACGGCATCCACGACAAGCCAGAAGATACTACAGCATCACGCAGCACTGCGCGTATACCAATACAACACTTCACTAACACCACACCTGAAGTGCAACAACGACGCGACTGACCACTACGAGTTGATCCACCCCTAGAAGCACCACTCACACCAGAAGTATACTCACCCAGAGCACCACAACCGCACACATCAAAAACGCAGTGGAGAAGCGGCTACACACTCGCTTCCGATGGGCGACATACCACAGTACGTCACGTCACCACAGCAGCAATACACTGCGGACCAATACGAATCACTCCAGCTGTTTGCAGAAGTACAACCATTGGCGCTACAACGAATGGTCACAATCAGGTCGAGTCCCAGCGATCGACCGCAATCCTCCCACTCACCACCTAGGCATGCTCCCCAACATGCACCGTCAGATGTTGAGGGCAAAGATGACACTTACATAGCGCCACTGCTTGGCGCACGGTCATTCGGACCAACAGTGTAGCTGCCGACGTACCCCTAGTGGCAAACAGCCGTATCGCCCAACCAAATAAATTTGCTAGGGCCCAGGAGGTCAGCGCTGCTAGTAGATAGAATCCAATAACTGACCCATACAGAAGTCCGACGAGGTGCACTAACCACCAGCATAGCAGCACAGGCGACGCATCTTCTCCGACTCCTACAAAGCGTAATACGTATCACCATCTACGACAGCCTAGTCCTAGGCATCTTCTCGCCTCCATCCACAATGCAAGCAGACGCATAGAGCTACAACGAGATCTATCTGACATCACACTCTACCCAGCTAGACAAGCAACACTCACAATCTACACTAAACCGGTACCTACCTGCCCCACCTTGCTAACTAATTCAGGCGGATCACTACAAACCTCCAAGGACGATTCAGCAAGGGCATTTGTAGTGGTCAAGTACGACAAGCACAGATCTGTCATGCACGGATTCCTCACTGGACGTATCGCACCCAGCATCCACAGCGAGACCGACCGATTTAGCCTAGACAGCCCAAATATTGATCTAGCAGCTATCATATGGGCCGTTCTATACGTAACGCAAATACCACCAAGCCTGCACAAGTAAATGCACACTGACCCAGCCAGCACATTCCATATCCTTACCCAGCTTACGAACAGTGACGACCCAATCGTCAGGATTGCACAAGTGCTCTACCACAAAGCAAGCAAGCAAGCAAGCAAGCAAGCAAGCAAGCAAGCAGCACTCCATCACCCTGCATCACGTACAGGGCCATGAGGACCAGTCATGGAATGAGCTGGCAGACGCGCTGGCCAAGAAACGCGCGGCTGTCCGTTCTAACACGGACACCCTGAGCACCAGGGACAGCAGATTTCCACAGCCAGACGACCGACTACAAGCACTACTATCTGACCACCCTCTCATATACTGGAAGATCCATCAGGAAGACCATACCGATAACAACTGCGCGTACCCAGTGATACAGCAGGATGGCTACCACTACCAGGCTCACGTAGCCAACCAGCCAACACCGCTTATCACTGCAACCGGCCAAGGCACCAACGGAGACACACGCCCAAGAACAACAACAACAATACAAGAAATCAGTACTACTACAGCGCACATCAAGCTGGACACCTACAAAGCACAACGAGCAAATGTTGACGCGACGAGCGACGACCTACACCGCGACAAGCAGACCCTCAACAACACGACAAGAGGCCACTATCTACGAGCACAGGCGCTACTGCAGAAGATTCAAATCATGGGCATACAGGAGACTGCGGTCAGAAGCGACTACAGCACTGCAGACACTTTCATGAGTTCACTACACCACAACCCCCTCCCACTGGTCAGCACAGTTCTACCGTACGCGGCCACGCCCAAACATCACCTATATTTCAAATAAAGCACTTCAGAGGTACTACGCTCATCTCACCGACTACGAATCACCAAGTTAAGAGCACCGCTCATGAGCGATACCATCTACGTAGCACATACGCCCCACGCGCAACACGACAGACAACACACGACCAAATGGTGGGATACACTCCACGAGCTAGCCAACAAATGGCATCCAAGCATGATCTTAGCCGACTTAAACGCACGCATTAACACCAACGTCTCTCCAAATATAGGCACCATGGCACCACCGCTACACCAACAACCAGGAGAAGACGACAACGCATCACCGGTTCGACTCACCGTCGTGGCGCACGACCTCACATGCACAAACACTGGTGTCCCTCGCGAGCCTACACACATGAGTCAAGAAGTTTAAGGGTCAGCTTACCAAACACAGGAACGATGTCATCGCAATTTCCAGCGACTGGACACCATATATCATATATGACTGACCTACAAGTTGATCAACGACACGATTCTGGAGCAAGAAACGAAGACCACTACCCAATTCACCTGACCATCGAGCACAAGAGACCAGATACCAGTGCTCGTAGAAAGCAACCACCACCATACGACCCTACCAAAATGCAAGGGACACGCATGGGAATGAACACCACTAGCTACCAACCAGCATGCTACATGCTACAGCGGCAGGGTGTTTGCCGACAGACGACTTCACCCGCGACAAGCGTACATCACAACAGAAACCCTGAAGATGATCCGACTCCAAAGGCATGCAGTAGCAGTTCTACTACCAAGCAGGCACACGACCACCAGCACTATGCTACACAAACTTAACAACGGCATCGAGCAATACCTCACAGGTAGACCTACGGACCAACACATACGCCAACTACATTTAGCAATGTACACTGCCGCGACTTGCAAGCACCACATCGCAGAGCAAGCAACACCAGTCCTGGGACTTCAACCCTACAATCCATTGAAACCGTTACCAACTATTTGGAAGAATGTGCACGCCACTGAAACGAGTGCCGCATTTTGGAAAGGAACCGGACTCCACACTCCACCCTTGGCACTGCTGCAAGATGCTAAACTTGCTGTGCGAAGCGCTGGGGCGAGAACCACATTTTGAACCCCACCTGTGCTCCATCCTTCTATTTGTTGCGAACTACATAAAAAACGACCCGCCTACTCCATCCTTGAAGCCGATACAATTTTCAGGCTTCAGGGCCATCAACGGCGAGGGAGTCTCAAGCGAAACACCCGGCCCAGCATACCGACACGTCTGGCGTTGCGACAGGGAGGAGTCGTCTGTAAGGCAGCGGAGTGGAAAATGACGGCGAGGAGGAGGAGGAGGAGAAGGAGGGGGAGGGCAACGAGGAGGGAGGAGGGCTGGACAGGAAGCAGGAGGCAGGAGGACAAAGGCTGGGCGAGACGCGCGCACCCGCTGCAGCCGCCGGTCCGCAACAGCGTGATCTCCTCGAACTGCCTGCCGCGGGGCGCGCTGGGACGCCCAGTGCAGGCATCTGCCGTCCCTCCTCGCTACTCCTGCTCCTCCAGCTGCTCCTCCTCCTCCTCCTCCTCCTGCTCCTCCTCCTCATCCTGCTCCTCCTCCTCCTCCTCCTGCTCCTCCTCCTCCCCTCCTCCTCCTCCTTCTCCTCCTCCTCCTCATTCTACTCCTCCCCCTCCTCCCCCTCCTCCTCCTCCTCCCTCCTCCTCCTCCTCCTCCTCCTCCTCCTCCGGCTCCTCCTCCTCCTCCTCCTCCTCCTCCTCCTGCTCCTGCTCCTGCTCCTGCTCCTCCTGCTCCTGCTCCTGCTCCTGCTCCTGCTCCTGCCTGCTCCTGCTCCTGCTGCTCCTCCTCCTCCTCCTCCTCTCCTCCTCCTCCTCCTCCTCCTCCTCTCCTCCTCCCCCCTCCTCCTGCTCCTCCTCCTCATCATCTTTCTCCTCCTGCTCCTTCTCCTCGTCCTGCTCCTTCTCCTTCTCCTCGTCCTCCCCCACCTTCTTCCTCCTCCTCCTCATCCTCCTCCTCCCTCCTCCTCCTCTCTCCTCCTCTCCTCCTCCTCCTCTTCCTCCTCCTCTCCTCCTGCTTCTCCTCCTTCTGCTCCTCCTCTTCCTCCACCTCCTCCTCCTCCTCCTCCTGCTCCTCCTCCTGCTCCCCCGCCTCCTCCTCCTCCTCCTCCTCCTGCTCTTCCGCTGGGCGCCCTTCAGCTCGATGATCGTGATTCAAGTTCGAGGATCGATCGCCAGGAAGGCACAAGGGTCCCTGGGCAACGAGGCCCTGAGATTTTCCCTCGTTGTTGGCCTTCCTCGAGGGTGTGAAGGGTCGGGGTTCGGACCCGCCATAGTTTGGAAGAGTTCGCAAATTATGGCGGGAACTTCCGCCATACGTCTCAAGCTCCTCCGATGCCGTTTTCCGCCCTGCCCTGCCGCCGCCGCTTCTGCCGTGCCTCTGCGGGACTATCCGCCCCACGCGTTCGCACCGCTCGGGCCGCACCTCCCACGCATCGCCTCTTCCTCCCTCCTCCTCCTCCTCCCTCCTCCTCCTCCTCCTCCTCCTCCTCCTCCTCCTCCTCCTCCTCCTCCTCCTCCTCCTCCTCCCTCCTCCTCCTCCTCCTCTCTCCTCCTCCTCCTCCTCCTCCTCCTCCTCCTCCTCCTCCTCCTCCTCCTCCTCCTCCTCCTCCTCCTCCTCCTCTCCCTCCTCCTCTTCCTCCTCCTCCTCCTCCTCCTCCTCCTCCTCCTCCTCCTCTAGAGGTGCCCCTGGCCCGAGGGGGCCCCCCGGGATCTTCAATGGAGGCGCCCACGGCCTCCAGAGCACCCCTCGCGAGGCCAGAGGGCCCCAGGGATTCCAAACTCGAGCGAAAAGCTGGGGGCACCTTGGGCCACAAGCGCCTCTAAAGAAGAAGAAGAAGAATAATAAGAAGAAGAATAAGAATAAGCATAAGAATAATAGTAATAATAAAAGAATAAGAAGAAAAAATAAGATGAATACTAAGAAGAAAACTAATAAGAATAATAAGAAGAAAAATAAGAAGAATCAGAAACAGAAGAAGAAGAAGAAGGAGACGAACCATAAGAAGAAGAAAAAGAAGAAGAAGAAACGGCATAAACAAAAACTGTTGGCGCTCCGCGCAGATTTCTTGGATCCGCGCTGGACCCCCTCCCTGGCGCGCGGAGCGCGCCTGGAGCGGCGCCAGGGGGGGGGCCCAGCGCGGATCCAAGAAATCCGCGCGGAGCACCAACAAAGTATGCTTATGTCGTTAGTCACGAACGGACCACAACGGTGTTTAAAACGCGTCGGCGTTTTGATCGAAAACGGAAACGAATCCGAACGTTTACAACGAAACGTTTAAAACGAACTTATGCAAAACAAAAACGAAAACAACGCGATGCCGCCATTCAGCGAGACAGCAAATGAAACAACGAAACGAACTCCGCAGACCTCCTTGGAAACATACCGGACAACGAAACGATGGCATCGAAAGATGGCTGAGGGCGGGGCAACATTGGATGGGGTCTGTTGCCAAAGCGAACGCAAGAGGCGAGGTTCTGACCAAGGCCCGACGCCAACAAAACGAAACAATGAAACAAACCAGGCACGAAACGGAAAAACGAATCGGGGCTGCGGCGAAGGCCACAAGGCCAGGGCGAGGGGCGGGATCCGTCTGAGGCTCGCGCAAAAACGCACAGAACAACAGAAACAACGAAAAGGAAAACTAACCGGGGGTGCGGCGAAGGCTACAGGGCCAGGGCTAAAGGCTAGGGGCGAGGGCTCGTGTGAGGCTCGTGCGAAAACAAACGAAAAACGTAACGAACAATGAACCAGGGTTGCGGCGAGGGCTACGAGTCCAGGGCCAGGGCGAGGGACGAGGTCCCGCTTGAGGCTTGCGCGAAACAAGCGGAAAACAACACGAACAGCGAATCGGGGCTGCGGCGAGGGCTGCAGGGCCAGGGCCAAGGCGAGGGGCGAGGTACCGTTTGAGGCTCGTGCGAAAACAAACAAAAAACAATATGAAAAACGAGCAAGGGTTGCGGCGAAGGCTACGGGGCCAAGGCTAGGGCGTGGGGCGAGGTCCCGTTTGAGGCTTGCGCGAAAACGAGAGAGAAAAAAAACACGAGCAACCGAACTAGGGCTGCGGCAAAGGCTACATGGCCAGGGCTAAGGCGAGGGGCGTGGAGTCTAGGGCCCTGGAGTCCAGGGCCCAGGGTTCTGGGGCCTTGGAGTCGAGGGCCCAGGAGTCTGATGCCCTGGAGTCTGGGCCCCAGGAACCCAGGTCCTTGGAGCCGAGGGCCTCATAATCGAAGGCCCAGGATTCTGGGCCCAGGAGTCCAGGGCCCAGGAGCCTGGAGCCCTGGAACCTACGGCCCAGGCCTCTATGGCCCCAGAGACATCTAGGGCATGGGAGCCGAGGGCCCATGAGCCCAGGGCCATGGGATGAGATTGAGAAAACCCAATTGTAAAGTTGGGGTTTGGGGAGCCATCCTAAGACCACTCAGCCTCACGAAAACAACGGGTGACACGTGTCACCCCGGACACCGCGTGACAAAACCCAACTGTAAAGTTGAGATTCTGGGAGCCAACATAGGGACATTCAGTTTAACAGAGAACAACAGGTGGCACGTGCCATCCCATAAACTGCGCGACAAAACCCAGTTGTAAAGTTGGGATTCTGGGAGCCAACAGAAGACCATTCAACTTCACAAAAACAGCGGGTGACACGTGTCACCCCCGAAACCGTCTGAGCTGAGCAAACCCGACTGTGCAGTGGGGATTTTGGTAGCCAACATACGGCCATGTAGCTTCACAAAAACAACAAGGCACACCTGTCACCCCGGAAACCGTGTGAGAGAAACCAATGGAAAACTATGATTCTGGGAGCCAACAGAAAGCCATTCAAGTTCACAAAAACAAATGGTGACACGTGTCACCCCCGAAACCGTGTGAAAAAACAAATGTAAAGTTGGGATCCCGGGAGCCAGCACGAGCCGTTCAGCTTCACAAAAACAACAGGTGACATGTGTCATCCCCGAAACTGTCTGAGCAAAACCCAATTGTAAAGTTGGGGTTCTAGGAGCCAACTTCAGGCCATTCATTCAGCTTCACCAGACGAATGGGTGACACGTGTCACCCCGGACACCGCGTGACACAAACCAATTGTGAAGTGGGGATTCCGGGAACGAGCATAAGGCCATTCAATCACAAAAACAACGGGTGACACGTGTGACCCCCGACACCGTCGGGGAAAACTCAATTGCAAAATTGGGATGCTGGGTCAGCTTCACCAAAAACAACGGCTGACACGTGTCACGCCCGAAACCGCATGACAAAAACCCAGTTGTAAAATTGGGATTCTGGGAGCCAACAGAAGACCATCCAACTTCACAAAAACAGCGGGTGACACGTGTCACCCCCGAAACCGTCTGAGCTGAGCAAACCCGACTGTGCAGTGGGGATTTTGGTAGCCAACATACGGCCATGTAGCTTCACAAAAACAACAAGGCACACCTGTCACCCCGGAAACCGTGTGAGAGAAACCGATGGAAAACTATGATTCTGGGAGCCAACAGAAAGCCATTCAGGTTCACAAAAACAAATGGTGACACGTGTCACCCCCGAAACCGTGTGAAAAAAACAAATGTAAAGTTGGGATCCCGGGAGCCAGCACGAGCCGTTCAGTTTCACAAAAACAACAGGTGACATGTGTCATCCCCGAAACTGTCTGAGCAAAACCTAATTGTAAAGTTGGGGTTCTAGGAGCCAACTTCAGGTCAGCCATTCAACTTCACCAGACGAATGGGTGACACGTGTCACCCCGGACACCGCGTGACACAAACCAATTGTGAAGTGGGGATTCCGGGAACGAGCATAAGGCCATTCAATCTCAAAAACAACGGGTGACACGTGTGACCCCCGACACCGTCGGGGAAAACTCAATTGCAAAATTGGGGTGCTGGGTCAGCTTCACCAAAAACAACGGCTGACACGTGTCACGCCCGAAACCGCATGACAAAAACCCAATTGTAAAGTTGAGATTCTGGGAGCCAACAGAAGACCATGCAGCTTCACGAAAACAACGGGTGGCACGTGTCGGCCTGGAAACCGCTTGACAAAAACCAATTCTAAAATTGGGTTTCTTGGGCCAACAAAAGCCATTCGACTTCGAAAAAACAATGGTTGACACGTGTCACCCCGGAAACCGTGTGACAAAACCCAATCATAAGTTGGGATTCTGGGAGCCAACATAAGGCCATTCAACTTCACAAAAAGTAGCGGGTGACACGTGTCACCCACGAAACCGCGTGACGAAAACCAAATGTGAAGTGGGGACTCTGGGAGTCAACATGAGGCCACGGTCAGTCACTCAAGCCTGGCGCGCAGACGGCGCATTAGCAATATAAAAAATACGCGCGTGACCGGAAACATGAACAATAGCCCCGGGCTCGGACTGGGCAGAGAAATGCGGGCAGTGAGAGAGCTACGAATTCACCTGC